TGATGTCTATATAAAATGTAGAAAGATGGTGTGTCCAAACTTTTAACTGCCAGTGTAATTCTAATGTGTCTGTTGAGTTTGCATCATGTTCCATTGTCCATCTCATTGTCTCTATTCCAGTATTTTTATGTATTTCTGTACAAAATGACTTTTCATTCTTGTGTTCAACAGTGTTGTGCCATGGAAGACTATTATTCAGCAAAACAGAGACTAAAGTGATTGAAGCAACAGAAGGACACAATTTTACAGCCCAATGTTTACTTTATTTCAATGGAAACAAAAAAATCTTCTGTCAAAATGACTGTAAAGGGAAAGAAGACACTTTGGTTGAGACTGCAAACAACCGACTGCAGAATGGAAGATACGGCATTGAAGTTATCAAAGAATCTCACACGCAAGTACTACAATTAAATGTGATCATCACAAACGTGAGAAGATCTGATGCTGGGTCATACACATGTGGTCTGGAACATGGAGAGATTTCAACATTTATATTAAAAGTCATCAGTGGTAAGTTATTTCCACATTTGACATCACCAGACGATTGTTCATTTTAAACTCTGCACTTTGGACACGACCAGTAGAAACTGGACACACCGTCTCCTTCAGTTGTCTTTTTCTTCATGTTTATCACTTTCTACATTATAGATTCATACAGAAGACTTCAAATGTATGATGCAAAATGTATGGAATTATCAAACAAAGAAACAAAAGTGAAATAACTCAACTAAATATTTGTATATTTTATATTCAAATTCCTCAAAGTAACCACCCTTTGCTTTGTTGACAGAGCTGCAAACTCTTGGCCTTTTCCCAGTAACAGAGAAATAAAGTTACTTGAAATGTTTTTTACTTCACAGGTGAACCAGGGTCAGGGTCAAGGAACACCAATTGTCAAAAGCTGTGATAAAAGCAAAGGGTGTCTGTTTTCAAAACAAGTTTCGAAACAAGTTAGTTAGAGTTTATTTTTGTTCCTACAATCTATAAATGTTCATTCATAGTTTTGATGCCTTCAGTGATGGAAATAAAGCAGAAAACATGAATGAGAAGTGTCCAGACTTTTGCCTGGTAGTGTCCGTTTTTAAGTGGACGGTCCAAAATCCTTTTTTATTTATTAATTTATCTTCACAACAAGACCACATTAAGACCTTTGTCTTAACGTTTTTCTGCTATGTTTCACAAAACTGTATAAAACTTATCTCCATGGAGACCAGCAGATAACTCCACCAAACCAAGTAGTTTTTGGCATTAATGAAAAGTAGATTAAGTTTAATGCCATACCATGAAACATTCCTGGCAAAACAATCAAGTATGTGACCCTGCACCAGAAAAGTTAAATAGTAAACCTTTTTTTTTTTTTTTTTTTTTTTAAAGCACTTTCACTTTCAGAAATTTCAAAGTCAATATTGCCCTTCATAATTTGTTTAAATAGATGCAGAATCTTACATGTGTCACATTTTGTGAGGAAAACACAGAAGTCCAGAGCAGAGGGTGAGTATGGGGTATAAAGGAAAATGGAAATGGAGCTATGGTGTTTTGAATGCAGGAGAATGCAGATATTTGTGGAGAGTTTTTTCCCTTTTAGCCCACAGCCCTCTTGGCTACATGGTAATGAGTCAAAGATTGCAGACACACTCACTCTGGCAGAGCTTTTAAATGTCACAGCCGTCACAGATTGGTTCAGATGCCATCACCATATATGTACCTGTACCATCCTACTCCAGCAGCCAAATACTGCTGACCTGTTCACACTCACTCACAAGGAAAATCATGAATCAAATCTGTCTTTTTGTCCCTGTTATTGTATAGATCGATTATTGCATCAGCCAGTAATGTGATATAGATATTCTTGAATCTTTAATCCTTTAATCTTTCTTTGCAGTGGAAACCCCAACACCAGGTTTGACCCTCGGAGCTGCTCCCACCACATCCCTCCATAATGTGACACCAGCACAGACGACACAAAGGACACAAGAAGCATCTGAAGTGACGAGCTCACAGCAACCTCAGGAGGAGCACAACTCATCCACACTGTCTGGTAGCTTCTGAAAAATGATGTTCAGAATTACATCTGCATGATTTGAGTTTCACTGACACTTCTGAACACGTCTCTTTCAGTTGTGCTGCAGTATGTTGCTGTGAGTGTAACCACCATTCTGATTATTGTATCAGGGAGTATTTTGATTTGGTGCTGGAAAAGGAAAACCAATAGACCAACAGGTGAGCCACACTCCAATGAAAATAATGCACTTTTTTATCCATCTGGTTCATTTTACACTTGTGAAAATTTTACAGCTGCTGCTGATGACTGTGAAACTCCAGAGGTGAGGGAATATATCTTAATCTGTTAATTTTCTGCGTTCCAAAGTATGTGACAAACTTAAAACAGCCCATTGGCTCCATTCAACGTCTATGAACAGAGTCTACAAAACATGTTCTTAAGTAGTTTTAGACGATTATAGCATTTTCAGAACACTAAAAGTTAATATTATCTAAATCTGTGATGTGTTACAGTTAATCCCCCTCACAAGTGTGATACATCGTCTTTACAAATCTCTTTCCAGTTATAATATGTCATTCATTTGCTTTGTTGTTTTGAATAGTATGAAAACTACCGTGTTGCTGCAGTGAAGGAGTCTGCAGACTGCATTTACCAGAACCTCCCTGTGGACAACATGGACCCAAACCAAACCTACAGTAACATATGAGACCAAGTCAAGACAAGTGAGGACATGTAGAACACCTCAAGTATGATGTCACTCCATCCAAGTGTCAGTTGTCATTAGTTCAATGGAATATAGATGTTTTGGTCAAATTAATATGGACCCCGTGTTTAAAAAATGTAAAGTGCTTGAATCCGACTACACTGAGGCAATCTCTTTTCTCAGATCCAACACCAGCCCACTTTTCGTAATTTAACCTTTCTTACTTTTTAACTCTGAAGTCAAAATAATAAAGTGAATAAGTTCAACTCTGTACTGTTGTTGTGGTGGTTTCCAGTGTGTGAATATAGAAGAGTGCTCACAAAGACAGTGCATGTGCCTGACTGTGTGCATGTCTGGATGTGAGTTCATGTTCATGTCTCTAAATCACTAACCACAGGTGCAAATACAGACACCTACATACTGGGCTAAGAGTATGTAGTGAACCAAAATGTTCACACTGACCTAAATCTAATTTTTCTTTACCAGTCTTGTAAAGACCATTTAGGTCCTCACCGCTCCCTAATCACTCAGCTGGGGTGAAATACTTATTTGTTAATAGTATCTATTGTGTTTGGTCCTTTACATGTATGTGCCGTTATTATTTAGGTCATATCAGATCGTTGGTTGTGCCCTCTCCAGACACACGGGGATTTAAAGGGATAGTTTGGGTTTTTTGACATGAATCTGTATGGTATTTCCATGAGCAGTGTCGTGCATCCACACTGACTTACCCACGACAGGGTCCGGTGAGCCGAGATACTGGCTGTTTTCGGTGCTGATGAAAGTAGTCCGGCAAGTTGGCTGGGGACATTAAAATAAAGCGTTTTTCTTCTCAAAACAATCTGTGTTCAAAAGAGTGATACATTTGCATCACAAAACCAACTCTGGAGAGAAGCCACATGAGTGTGACCAGTGTGGGAAGAGTTTTTCTCCATCAGCACATCTCCAAAGACACACCAGAGTCCACACTGGAGATAAGACAAATGTGAACAATGTGAGAAAGTTTTCACTACATCAACTTGACAAACATGAGACTTCACACTGAGACACTATTCAAGTGTGGCCAGTGTGAGAAGTCTTTAAGAACATCAAGGAACTCCAGTACAGGGTTATTTTTGTCTCATTAATGTTCATAAATGTACAGAGGATGATCTACAAAAAACAGATCCTCCTCCCACCACCAGCAGGTGGCAGCAGTTGACACACAAAACATTTGACACTCCTGAAATGGAAGTGTCTGTAGGACGGGTATGTAACATTAATGAATTGTCCACAAGGCCAATTCCTTATTGATTATTAAATTACGATGTCTTGTTACAAAATGATATGTGTTAGCATACCTCATAGTCTCTTGCTAACTTAATGTCAGGTAGGTTCATGTTTACCTTTATCAAGAGCCTCAACAGCTGAATGTGACATGATTGGAATAAAATATCCAACATTTGTGTATTTGCTGTTGTATGTGTGTGTGTGTGTGTGTGTGTCTCTGTGTAGTTTTAGTTTTCTCTAACTTCATAGAACAACACTATAACAACCCACATATTGTTAACCAGTATAGATTTATTGTTATGTTATTGTTATACAGTGTTGGGAAGGTGACTTTTAAAATGTAATCCCCTACAGATTACAGATTACACACCCCAAAATGTAGTTTGTAACGTAATCCATTAAATTACTTAAAGTGAGCAACGTAATCTGAATTACTTTGGATTACTTGATATTGTCATGTTTTTTTTAAATGACATGAATGTAGCAACCACATCCTGAAAATTCTTGTTTGTTGTCTTCAAATTGTCTGAGCCCAAGTCTCCATGAATAAGCAACTGTTTACTGTAGAGAAACAAAGACCACGATATCTTAATATAAGAGGTTTTGTCTGTTAAAAGACAGTAACAAGATCAGCCTTTCCTTCACCAGATTAAAAAATATTATTGATAGAGAAATGATTTTTTTATATGAGATCACCTTAAATTATGTCAACCTACTGTTAGGTGTCATGTTGTTTAGACCTGGTTTTAGTCCTGGTTTAGTCCTGGTTTAGTCCTGGGTTAGTCCTGGTTTTAGTCCTGGTTTAGTCCTGGTGTTAGTTCTGGTTTAGAGGCGCACAGGAGGAAGCGCGGTTTACGTGAGAAAACACGGTCCACACGCGGCGCACGAGACGTCGGTGTCCACGCAGTAACTACGGAAGGAGACGTGGTCCGTGGGTTCTCAGGTTGATGACGATGATGAAGGTGTTTGTGTGTTTGTGTGTGTGTGTGTGTGTGTGTGTGTGTGTGTGTGTGTGTGTGTGTGTGTGTGTGTGTGTGTGTGTGTGTGTGTGTGTGTGTGTGTGTGTGTGTGTGTGTGTGTGTGTGTGTGTGTGTGTGTGTGTGTGTGTGTGTGTGTGTGTGTGTGTGTGTGTGTGTGTGTGTTGTGTGTGTGTGTGGCGTGTGTGTGTTTGTGTGTGTTGTGTGTGTGTGTGTGTGTGTGTGTGTGTGTGTGTGTGTGTGTGTGTGTGTGTGTGTGTGTGTGTGTGTGTGTGTGTGTGTGTGTGTGTGTGTGTTTGTGTGTGTGTCCACTCATGTGGCAGGTCAGTGTAGGACAGTAGTGCAGATATTATGAGTCTATGCAGGTTGTTTTCTCCAGTGCCAGTAGCTCCTGTTTCACATTTAAGTTGTAGGCAATTTTATATTTGTTATATATATATATATATATATATATATATATATATATATATATATATATATATATATATATATATATATATATATATATATATATATATATATATATATATATATATATATCTCACATCGGGAGAAGAATTTCCAAGACACAAATGCGTTTTTACCAATGCACTGCTGCTCCCATTGTGTGACTGACACCGCCAGCTTTAACATGACGTTTACATCGCTCTTACTGCGCGCGTTCTGTTTGGGTTTCCGGCAAATGAGTGGAATTACCGAAATAAAAAAATAAATACATGGGATGTAGCACAAAATGTGAAAACAGGAAAATACCGCCTTGTAATCCACTTATTTCAGCAAAGTAACTGTAATCCATTTACCACTCATTGAAACAGTCACTGTAACGGAATACAGTTACTCATAATTTGTACTCTGATTACGTAACGGCGGTACATGTAATCTGTTACTCCCCAACACTGTTGTTATATTACACAAACAGAACACACAGCCTGAGGTTACATTTACACTGAAACAAATCAACGTATCAGAAACAATTTGCAACATGTCGTTTCTGTGTCCACAATCATGTCTGAATTTGCAGCAGCTAATTTCGATTCAAGAAGACGGCAAACATGAAAACAGTCTTTTCGTGGACCGACGACGAGGTTCAGTTGTTACTGAATGTAACACTGGATTTCCCATTTGTCTGTGGTTTGTTTAAATTGTTTTCCACAACAGTGTCACATGACCGATGTCAAGAACCCAGCGAATCAGGAAGGAGCAAGTCACAGTGACGTGGTCCAATAAGAACACAACGAGAGCTCCTACGTCAGTGTATCAACATTTTCAGGCGTCCACACAAGTGCCAGATCAGGTCCGTCCTGGGATGAATTTGTGGGAGCTGGCGGCTTCTCTCTTGGGATTGGGTAAAAGTGTTCGGTTTACATGTTACAATATTTGTAGGAATAAGCACTGCATAACTTCTGTTTTGACACGTTCATCTGATGAGGAAATTAGGATCAACTTAATATCATCAGCAAGTCTCCTCCTGCCTCTGTCTGTGCATGTGACAGTGAAGTTGTACGGTGGTAAAGTGAAGGCTTCGCTGCTCTCACCTCTATATTTCATGTATTCATACATATGTCATTCAAATATGCATCTTATGCATGTTTGGCTGGCCTTATATACCAACGTGAACTGCAGGTAACTAAGTAAGCAAGTAAGTCTTTGTTTATATAGCGCTGTCCACAAAGACGCTTTCATTTTATTCAGCATTATTCATTCACTCTGTACCCTGGTAAGCATGTAGCCAGCTGCCCTGGGGCAACTGAAGAAGCGCAGCTGCCATGCCACTGGCGCCATCGGTCCCTCCAACCACCACCATCACTCACACACACACTTTCATACTAGGCAAACTGGGCGAAGTGTCTTGCCTAGGACACAATGACTGAATTTATTGTATTTAACTGACCTTGACTATCACTGTTTATGGAGACCTGTAGCATGTTTTGGGTTGAAGGAAACCCATCCAGTCACAGGGAGAAACATGCAAGAAAGGCATCAAACCCAGAACCTTCTTGCTGTGAGGCATGAGTGCTAGCCACTCAGCCACCGTGCTGCCTGCAGGTAGTAACATAAAACTGTAACATGCAGCAAAATGCCACCTGACTGTGAAGCTGTGTTGGTGTGATAAATCTCAACATGAAGCAGAAGTCAAGTGCTCCAACTGCCAGAAGTACATGCACTATGAATGTCTGGGCCTCACTGTGATGTGGCCAAAGAGCCAGATAAATGAAGAGTCAGGATTACACATTTGTCAGCTTTGTACCCAAAAGATGTCAAAAGGAAGTCAATTCTCTGAAAAGGCAACATCCAAACAACACGTGTTTTGAGTATGATCGTGCCACTTGAGACTAAACTGCTTTAAAGTATTGTGGATATTTATTCTGTTTGTCAATCCTCAGTGCTGCTGTGTCCACTGTGGCTCCAGCGATCCCGATCCCGCACATCCCTGTACAAGTAGTCTGAAGTGCTGTAACTGTAGTGAGTCACATGCAGAGAACAGCCCCTCGTGCTCCGCCTACTTAAAGGTCTTTGTGGAAATCAAGCAATCACTAAGAAATGTAAGA